ATGTATGATTTACGTTTGATTCACTCTACATAGTGCCTTTCACAAAGGATAGCGTAGAGCTGAACAATGGCTGAGTTCGAAGCTGAGCCGGGGAGAGAGGAGAGGTGGCCATAGGCGTTGGTCGAAGAAGAAAGTCTACAGGTGCGATCTGAAGATGAGTAAAGAGGGGGCAAGGATTGAGGCAGGAAGTTCCAGAGGTCCAGGACATAGTGACTTAATACACTTGGTCTTTAATAGATTTCATGCACTTTATGTAGCAGCAAATAGGAGTCCTGTAGCATAGTGGTTGGAGCACTCGCCTCACGAGCGATAGGTCCCGGGTTCGATTCCCTGGCGGGGCAAACCTTTAGGCAAGTTTCCTTACTCCATATACCTCTGTTTACCTAGTAGTGTAAGTAGGAACCAGGTAATTAGTCGATTGGTGGATCGCTTTTCCAGGGGTATTAATGGCTTCAAAAAATGTAATAAATAAATAAAAATAATAATAATTTGTTGACTCAATCCACAACTGTTCGTGGGAAACTGCTGTGCGCAATTGGCTGCCGTATTTCGCCCACAAAATACCCAGTCAATTCACTTTACAATATATTCTGCGAAGCGCTTTGAGATGTCTCCATGACATTATATGGCACGGCATATCAAATGCAGGAATTATTATTATTATTATAATAAATGCATAACACAGACTTCTTGTTAGCACGGGGGAATTGATTATCCTGCCTCCATTGACAAGCTTATTAATGTTTTCTTCTTCATTGTTTTTTTCCCATTAGGACGAAACGAGATTGTTTTTGAAACCACATTTGGACTGGTCTGCTGAACGATTTCCATTTTTCTGTTTCAAGATAAATTCAGTGTTGCGTGGTCAGAGGTGATTCAACCTTAGAAATAAAACCTGTTGAAACTTGACGAATTTCCCTTGCAAAAGAAAACGCAGCATCGCAGTTTGCTTTGGTTCGGTGAAGGTGGGATTTAGTTTGGCTTGCGATATAAAGCAATAATTATAATAATAATAATATAATAATAATAATTATCCTTGCTATTCAGGTGGGCATTCAGGACCCTGTGCCACTATTCCAGCAGAGAAGGGAGTTTCTTTCGGCCAACAAGCCTCCAGATGAAAAGAAATAGTTATTAATTTCATGGCTGGTTGTGGGCGATTTCTATGTACAAACTGGCTGCCACATACGCCTACAATCACTAGGCTTGTCTGTGAAGTCCTTTGAAATTCTTTGACGGTGGGATAAAGCAAAAACTACATCAAATGCAAGGATTATTATTGGTGAGCGCTGGCGGGTGTGGACAGAGCTTTTTATTTTACAGTCACCCCCTTAAGGCAGGCAAAGGCAATGAGGAGATTAAGCAGATTGATTCGCTTTCTGGAACCTTGACAGATCTTATCGCTTACTTACAACTCAAGCTGTGATTGTTTTTCATCCTTAATTTTTTTTATTTTATGCAATTATTGGCAACTTGTGAGATTATACCACATCCTGTTCTCACGCCACGCCATATCTCGCAACCGTTGTACATCAGGCTCATTTACACCGTTTATCCAATTTTTGTTACACACTTGTTGGGATGGTGGAATACCCCTCCAAGTAAGATAGCAAGAAGCAGACTGTATTCTGGGTTTCAAGAGGGAAGTAGTCAGGTGTATGAAAGATAATAATAACAATATCCTTGCATTTGATATAGAGCCTTATCACGTCTTCGAGACGTCTCAAAGAGCTTCACAGAATATACTGTGAAGTGAACCAACTGTATATTTTTGTGGAGTCCTGTAGCTCGGTGGTTAGAGCACTCGCTTTGCAAGTGAGAGACCTGAGTTCAATTCCAGGCAGAGGGCGAAACCTTGGGCAAGTTTCCTTACTCCACACAGAGCCCAATAATAATCCCTCCAAAAACAAAAAAAACAATAATAAATTGGTCATTTTCAATCTACGACTGTTTGTGGGACATTGCTGTGCGCAATTGGATGCCGCGTTCGCCCACAAATATACAGTCAATTCACTTTACAGTGTGTTCTGTGAAGCGCTTTGGGACGTCCTCCCGACGTGAAAAGCGCTATATCAAATGCAAGGATTATTATTATTATTATTATTATTTTGTGGGTGAAATACGGCAGCTAATTCCGCACTGCAGTGTCCACACAAACAGTCGTGGATTGAGTGACCAAATTATTATTTGTTTATTCAATTATTTTTGAAGGGATTATTACCTCCAAAGAAGTGATCTGCCAATCAACAAACAACTGGGTTTGTCCCTGTTTGTCCCTCGTGCTCTCTGCTCCATCAATTCTGCCCTTGCTTTGAACCACTTCGCCCCAAAACTCTGGAACTCTCCTTCAATCCCTCTGCCTTGCTCCCTCCTTCCCCATTTTTAGATCATGCCTTAAGAGCTTCCTCTTCGACTGTGCTTACAGTCGGCTTTCCGGCTGAGTTCAATTCCAGGCGAAACCTTGGGCAAGTTTCCTTACTCCACACAGAGCCTAATAATAATCCCTCCAAAACCAAAACAATAATAAATTGTTCATTTTCAATCTACGACTGTTTGTGGGACATTGCTGTGCGCAATTGGCTGTCCAGGAGACATTGGGATACTATTTCCAGTATCCTGCAAGCGCTCTGGGACGTTAAATACAAGTTGATGTTGTTATTATAATATTTTTCCATTGTCGAAATTCAGCCAAACCTAATTCAACTGATTGTTTGTCTCATTATTGTTTGTGGGACGCCTCTCGCACAGGTCAGCTGTCCAGTTTGCCGACATAACAAAGGTCTCTAGGCTTCAAAGTAATCCACTGTGCGGGAAGTGGGTTCAGCAAACTCACTTGGAGTATATATATCTGTCCTTTGGATGAGTCGTTAAACCGAGATTCCGTCTGCCTGTTCAGGTAGATGTTAAAGATGCCGTGGCACTATAGACAAGGGAATTTCTCTCTCCCGGTGTCCCTCGAATAAAAATGTTCACTCACTCCATGGCTGTGTGTAAGACGATACTGTGCAAAACTGGCTGCCAAGTTTCGCCCACAAAATACACAGTCAATCCACTTTGCAGTGAATCCTGTGAAACACTTTGAGACTTCTCAATGATGTGGTAAAGCGTTTAATCAAATGCAAGGATTGTTATTATAAACAATGTGAAAGTCGCTATATAAATGCAAGTTTGTATTGTATTGTCATATTGCAAACACTGGCTAACACTTTGGGCTGAATGGCCTGTTTCAATCTCGTGTGTAATGTATGTAAAGTGCTTTGAGAGTTTATGATATGACAATTTGCCATTATCAAATGCAAATATTATTGCCTGTGAGGGCTTAAACTTCAAGACTGGATCATGGTTGACGTCACACGCAATCCTACCTGACAAATTGTGAGTTAATTTACAATCTCATTGTATTTCTCCTCCGTCACCATTAGCTGTTGAAAGCCTCACTACAATGCTCCTTAACCATAAATAGCAAAGGATTCTGAGGAAGCTCAATTCACATTTAAAGCATTCTTGTTTTGTGCAACCTCTCGTCAGTTCGCATGCAGCAGCAAAGTGGCCGAAGGAAATCTGACTTGCAAAATGCAGCTCAAATATCCAGAAATATCCTTTCCCACTCTGGTCTGAATTTTGTTTATTTCGTCCATAAGCCACTCAGTACAGGCTGTTTGCCTCACACTCTAATCACAAACAGAGAGGCATTAACATTCAATGGATTTATTATTCTTCGCCCCCCCAGATAAAAGCCTGAGGCTTTTGTGATTCATTCAAAGTGATAATGTCCCGAGAGCCAGTGATGAAAGCCACCTTTGAAAACCACACCGATCCGCCTTGTTGAAGTACAACCGAGAGTGTGGGTATAAATATGAATCGGGTAAGTTAATGGGCAAGGCATTTTATAATAATAATAATAATCCTCGCATTTGATACAGCGCCTTCTCACGTCTTCGAGACTTCTCAAAGCGCTTCACAGGATATACTGTCAAGTGAATTGACTGCATGTTTGTGGGCGAACCGCGGCAGCAGCGTCCCCACAAACAGTCGTGGATTGAGTGACCGCGTTTTTTTAGTCTGTGTAGCATTTTAGAGCGTGCGAACTTTGGCAAGTAACGAAATGCAGCCGTAAATTTAGATCTGTAGTATTTAGCGCTGAGTGTAGTGACCGTGCATTTTATAGGGGAACGTGGCAGACAATTTGCACACAGCAGCAAAATGGGCCACAGGAAATCTGCCTTGCAAAATGTAACTCCAAGTGGACTTTAAATCACAGCACTTCCTTGAAATATCGATAAAGGACTCGATCCATATATTCTCCAACCCCAAATAATTGAATCTCGTCCAAATAGCTTCAATAAACACTTTTGAGTTAAGTGCAGTTGACTGCTGTTATGTTTATTTATTATTATTTGGAAAAAAAACCGATGCAATACGATTCAGGGCTGAGGTCAGTTTAAAAGCTCGCTCATACGCTGATGTTTTGTACCCTAAGATCCTCAACCCATTAACTAGTGCGTGTTGCGAACGACGCTGGAACGATTACACAAAGCCCTGCCCCCCCCCCCCCCCCACCCTCCCCCACTTTGCAAACATTCAGAGTAAAACAGCAGCTGCCTTTGGGGGGAATCAAACAAATCAAATTGATTCCAGTCCATAAATGTGGAAAGGAGGAGCTTGATGCAGACTGTGACACGAGTCTTGCGCTCTCTTTCTCTCTCTCTCTCTCTCCCTCTCTCGTTTCATTTCTAGCAGCATTTTCAAATGAGATTGAAACCACGACAGTTGTGAGCGAGCGAGCTCGCTGGCTAGCTGCCTGCAGATCATTTGGTGTGTGTGTGCGTGCGTGTATTTGCCAGGTGCAATCGTTGTCTGGATTTTGCATTAAATCCAGCACTCCCTTCCTTCTCTTGCTCTTTATCCATCTCTCTCTCTCTCCCTCCCTCCCTCTCTCTCTGTGTCTGCCTGTGTGTATGTGTTTGCAGCCTTTAATATCGCACTAGAGGAGCGGGACGATGGATGTGACAATAGCCACGGGATCTGGGCTCAGCCTAGACTCGCTGAACCTTTCTGAACGGAGCCTGACTCTGCTGTCTCCTGGGGGGAACGAGTCTAACCCGGCGTTCCAGGGCTTGCAACTGATCCATCATCTCAAAACCCTCATCATCCCCCTCTACTCCATCGTGGTGGTGATGGGCATCCTGGGCAACTGCCTCCTGGTGTACGTCATCGCCCGGGTCAAGAAGATGCACAACGTCACCAACTTCCTCATCGGCAACTTGGCCTCGTCGGACGTGTTGATGTGCACGGCCTGCATCCCGCTGACGCTGGCCTACGTCTTCGAGCCGGGCGGCTGGCTGTTTGGGCGGGCGGCTTGCCACCTGGTGCTGTTCCTGCAGCCCGTCACCGTGTACGTGTCCATCTTCACCCTGACCGCCATCGCCGTGGACCGTTACGTGGCCATCGTGCACCCTCTCCGCCGCCGCGTCTCGCTCAAGCTCAGCGCCTACCTGATGGTGTCCGTGTGGGCGCTGGCCTGCTGCCTGGCGCTGCCCGCCACTGCTCACACCTACTACGTCGAGCTGAAGGACCAAGGGGTGGCCATCTGCGAGGAGTTCTGGGAGAGGAAGGACGAGGAGAGGAGAGCCTACGCCTGCTCGTTGCTGGCGATCACGTACATCCTCCCCTTGACCATCATCCTGGTCTCCTACCTCAGGATCTCAGTCAAGCTGAAGAACCGGGTGGTGCCTGGCAGCGTGACCCAGACCCAAGCAGACTGGGACAAAGCCAGGAGGAAGAGGACCTTCTGCCTGTTGGTGGTGGTGGTGACGGTGTTCGGGGCTTGCTGGCTGCCGCTGCACGCCTTCAACATCGTGCGAGACATTGACATCGACATCATAGACAAGTACTACTTCAACCTGGTGCAGTTGTCCTGCCACTGGCTGGCCATGAGCTCCGCCTGTTACAACCCCTTCATCTACGCCTGGCTTCACGACAGCTTCAGGCAGGAGTTGAAGAAGCTGCTTACCTGGCCGGGCAGAGTCACCCCGTTGGGGCAGAGTGTCACGGTCAGCGTGGTGCTGTGAGGAGAGGGGTGTTCGTCTCTTTCTATCTTTATTTTTTTCGAGGGTTTAAATTAAACGTCCCATCTCCTCTGACTTGCTTGTCTGGTGAGAGAGATTCACTTTGATAAGGAACTCAAGCTGGGGATGGAATAATAAAAATAATAATAATAATAATAATAATAATAATCTTTGTGTTTGATACAGCTCCTCGTCACGTCGTCGAGACGTCTCGGAGCGCTTCACAGGATACACTGGAAAGTGTAGCGACTGTGTGTTTTGTGGGCGAAACGCCACAGTGTTGAGCGAACGGGCAATGCCTTGCGCCGAGGTAAGGAATCCCGGCATAGGAATTCCTGCTCACCCACAGGAATTCTGCTCCGGAAGCAAAAGCAAAAGAGTTCGGGCGGAGGTCAGCATGACGTGATTCCGATGACGCGATAATCCTTGCATTTAATACAGCACCTTATCATGTTGAGACGTCTCAAAGCGCTTCACAGGATACACTGTAAAGTGCAGTGACTATTTGCCGGATCTCTTATTAAGAAATCTGGTTAAGAAATACCGCAAGTTAGAACCACCCCTCCCCTCAACCCCGCCAGCCCTACCCACCCCATATTTTGCACAGATGTTCTTAAGACCACATGTCTGTTATCTCGTTGGGTATGTTTTGTGCGTTAAAATGCTTCTTAAAGGATCAGTCCGGGGAAATTCTTCAATGTAATGTGTACAAAGGCGATGTGTTAAATGTGTTTATAAACTGCCCCGAACGAGACGTAACAGGGGTTTGATTTCATCGTAGAATCGGTAAGTCTCGGTTTCTGTGCGTTTCAGAACCAAGTGCCATTTACTTGCGATATGAATAAATTTTAAAACTTTCATTGAAAAAAAGTGCGTCGACTGTCCTATCACGGGAGGCTTTGGCTCAAGAGCTGCGGGGCTCTACTCTGCGTGCATGAGGGGTGCTATATAAGTGCAAGTTGTTGTCATTTGTTGTTAGCTTGCGCTAGAACACCGTATAGATATAATTCCATACTGCAGCTGACGTCTATTCACACTGAACCCAGTGGCGGTTCGCTAATTACCTTGTAAAATCACAGGCTCCTGTGCTCTGTCACTGGATACCTACCCTAAGATTCCACTTTGCCTGCTTTGAACGTATCGATTGTGCAGAATCGCGGATAATCCTCAACCTAATCAAAAAGCCGGCTCCGTTTATTGCAGAATAACAGATTCCAAATCAAGGCTGAATTTGAGAATTTTCCACCCTTCTGCGGGATGCTAACCTTCAAGGCAAATTGGTCGTACAGGCTCAGATCAGGGGGAATTTCAGGCTTCTGGTGCTTCTCTGTTGGCTTTTTTTTTGTTTGGAACTATATATTTATTGCTAAATATATATATTTATTTATTTATATATATATATATATAAAATATATATATTTTATTGCACAACAGAAATCCAAAACAAACAACACTACAACACCTTCTGTTACAATATGTTTTCCTTTCTCCCGATACAAAAAACATTCCGTTGTTTACGGTACATTCCTTCAACGCACGCGGGTTGTGCACCCGTTTTTTTCTTGCGACGCTCTCTTTAAAACAGTCAGGGTTCATCATCCCTTGTGTACACCACATCCCCGTGCGAGCCAGCACACCCTGATGGGGGGGGGGGTTCTTGCCGCTTTCGGAAGGTGCCCCGATGTACGGTGGCTTCTATGTGACCGGTTCTGTTACGGCTTCATGGGGGAAAAAAAGCAGAGAGTTTCTTCCAGCGTCCTGGCCAAGAAGTCCTCCTATAACATTGATTGTTCGGTCACCTCCTGGCTGTTTGTAGGACTTCGCTCTGAGTAAAGTGGCTGCCACTTTGGCCACTTTGGCAAACACAAATACGCAGTCATTCCACTCAACAGTAAAAGCTGTCGAGCACTTTGAGATGTTTCGTGCTAAGGTGCTGCACTAAGTGAAAGGGTTATTATTAGCTATTATTAACTATTGACGTGCCTATATCCCTATTTGTGTAATTACTGGATGCATGCCCCACTTTACTACGATCGTATTGCATTATAGAAATAATAATCAGCAGGAACCTCGACGCCACTGGAAATAAATATCTCTTGTCCGTCAATGAATTCTTTTCTGTCTCTCTGTTATTCAATCCTTTTACCTCTCTCGGTCTCCTGCTCTTTTCACTCGCCACATCTCTCCGTGGCTCTGTCGCTCAGCGTCTACAGTCGTTGCTTCATTCTGCCCCGTTTCTGTCACCGGACTGACAGCCAGGCATGTCCCATGTACATGCAGTGAAACTAGCACAAGTCGTATGATTCGGGACCATAACATTTAACATGACTTACACTTAGTATGAGTTACAGACAACCTTGTATGAAATAATCAATAATTCACACTGCGCGGGTACTTCAATGAAGCCAGTAAGTATATTGGTGGCGTTACGAGTTAGGAGGTGATTTGCTTTATAAAGTCCGACCAGCGCAAAGAAATCTAAGTGTTTCTTGGTAAAAAACCGAATGGAACTCAGGTCCATGTATGATTTAGGCAATTATATGATTTGTAAAGATAAGACTTATGTGAGTTTTACTGTATATCATTATAGATTTACACTGTAGCTAACATTCACCCACACATTCTCCCCCATCATGTCCGTGGATGACGTTTTACTAATTCAGTGTACTAATGCGCTGTTCCGTACACCCTTGTACCCTTGCATTGCCGAACACATAAATAGGTCACCAACAATTGCCGTAACATCTTCCAAATAACCTTTAAAGCACACAATTTTCAAGGTTATTCCGAAGATGTTAGAGCAATTGTTTGTGTGGAAGTGAACAATTTATGCGTTCTTCTTCACACATCCTTCAAAAAAATAAAATATAATAATAATAAATTGGCCACTCAATCCACGACTGTTTATGGGACACTGCTGTGCGCAATTGGCTGCATAAATTATATTTATGTTATTTGTTCAGCTTCGGGTCACCCTCAATGTAATGTGTTTCATGTCCGTTACTAAGCGCTGTTGAAACATCCTCACTGTCCCCTTTATTGTGTGCCTGACGGATTATGCCTCGACTGTTAATAATTCAGTCTGTGTTGAGCGTCAATGGTTTATACCGGTTTAGGATATTTCACCCACCCCTGGGACTGTGGTTCTGCGTTTGCCTGAATCTTCAAACTGATTCTTCCTACACTTTGGACATAAAATGTGGAGCAGATTACAGTACAATTTACACCCGACATAGCGCACTTCACGTCGGGAGGACAACCCAAAGCACAGCGGAGCCAAGGGTGACAGCTGTGGGGGGTGGTGGGGGGAGTGTTGAAGAGGGGTAAAGGTGACAGAAAGCGTTTCAAGACGCACCTTAATATAATAATAATCTTTGCATTTGAAATAGCACCTTATGATGTCTCAAAGCGCTTCACAAATATACTGTAAAGTGAATTGATTGTGTGTTTTGTGGGGGCGAAACATGGCAGCCAATTGCGCACAGTGGCGTCCCACAAACAGTGGTGGATTGAGTGACCAAATTACAACCATTTAATACTTTTTTTTGAAGGTATTATTACCCCCGGGGGGAAATCGTTCCGCCAATCGACTAACAACCGCATTCCTGCTTACTGCCAGGTAAATAGAGGCGTGTGAAAGAGAGGAGAGAAGGGACCTGGGAATGGAGTCCCAGAGGTTCGGGTCTCGCCAAAAGACTGCGGTGAGGATGGGGGGAATAGAGAGTGGGGGATGTGGGCGTGAGGTTGGAATCAACCGAGTAAAGGGAATGGCTGGGTTAGTATGGGTGAAGGAGGTTGCAGACCGATTAATTAAGTGCCGAGGGCACCCATTAACACACAAGATAGCGCAGAGTGTGAGGGAGCATGAATCAGAACTGGTCAAGACTAGGAAGCCTTGCTGAGCTAATTGAACTACCCTTCAATCAAGCACATCTTTGGGCTAGAAAATAGAGGGCTTCACTGCTTATTAAGCAAACCAGCGCCATTCTGTTATTGTGTACCAGAAAGTCCTTTGCTGATTTACCCTCGCTATGTTTTACATCCACTTTCCGTGCAACAGCATGTCAGCTGTAACGCTCCCTACTCCTCGTATGTCACAACAGAGTGAAATATTGCAGAGTGCCCTCCCTAATATGCCACTGCATGAGTGTGCGCGTGTATCATTTGTGAACGCCTACGTTGTTCGTGAACCGAGGCTTGTTCAAATCACGTCCGCATCACACATCAATAGCTCCCTCTGTACCTGGCCTGGAATCACTACGTATTGAGGCGTGCGTTTCAATAACAACCTCTTTCCCAATCGGGCAGTTGTCTAATTCAGTGGCGCAATTGGCTGCCACATTTCGCCCCCACAAAACATACATTCAATTCACCTTGCAGTGTATTCAGTGAAGCGCTTTGAGACCCTTTGACACTTTGTGGCTTTCCTTACATGAGTTAGACGAAGGCCAAGCGAGTCAATTACACCTACTTTCTATTTATTTTCTTCCCCAAATTGTTCTTCCTCAGCTGCACTCACACGCCACATCTATTCATTTGTGCGATTGTGATGTGTCCGTGCAAGACAAACTGTCACATTACTTACATGTTTTAAGGCGTTTGCCTCGGTCTCGATCAATGTAATTCTTCTTATTGTCCTAACAACCGTTCCGGTTTTGTTTGCTCTTGGTACTGCCGCTTCTGATATGATACAGGATATTTTAAGGCTTTCTCTCCCTCCTTGCCTCCCTCACTCTCTCCCTCCCTTCCCATGAATTTGTTTTCCATCATGATTCCTCTTTAGAAATGATACTCCATTCTCTCAGACGAATGCCTGTTAAAGAGTTTGTAGAATATGCGGGAGATTTTGTGGAATAGAAGCTGCTGAGATTTTGTGGAACGTGTTGCGGGTTTCCTCAATATCTCCTCCTGTTTGAGTTACAACTGTTCCATCTCGCTGAAAAATCTTATGGAAGCCCTCAGTTCAGGTCTCAGGCAGAGCTGATCATATTAATAATAATAATAACAACAATAATCATCATCATCATCCTTTGCGCTTCGCAGAAGATACTGTAAATTGACTGCGTATTCTGTGGGCGAAAAGCAGCAGCCAATTGCGCACAGCAGCGTCCCACAAACAGTCGTAGAGTGAGTGACCACATTTTTCAAAGGCGCGATTCTTAAGCATCTAAATTTGTAATGTGTTGTGAACGTTCGAAAAAGAATTACTGTGAAAGTTTACGGGAAACACAGCGAATGGATAGACCCTTGACAGACTGGCACAGGTACCGAACTCGAACCTGGATTTGCTCCTTAATGTTACGGACTGTTACAACTGCTTAAAGCAATTTTCTTACTGTCTGGTTACTATGGTTATGCGCCTATTTCCATTTGACAAAATAATGTACAGCTCAGCTTCGGCTGTCTGATCCTCTTACGTAAACAGCGTTCAATCAAATCAAAAGTACGATTCGGCCTCCGAGTCGGGAATTGAGCCAATTCCTCTGATTTTTCATTCCGATCATTGCCGTGAGTGTAAGTGAGGCGGGAAACGGCAGCTTCTCCTCAGGGACATGTTTGATTGTCAGGCACATTCGGAAATATCATATCATCAGTTAAGTATATTTATATTTAAATATATTTAACTGACGATACGACATTTAAACATATTAAACATTTAAACATATACCCAAATTAGAATTAATTTTAAGAAGAATCCTTGATATAGCTCCTTATCACGTTGTCGAGACATCTCAAAGAATGTACTGTGAAGTGAATTGACTGTGTACATTGTGGATATTGTCAATTGAGCACAGCAGTGTCCCACAAACGATCGTGGATTGAGCGACCACATTATATTTTTTAACAAGAAAAAGTTAGTAGCCTAAGGAGCATCACTGTGTGGGTTCACCTTCAAATACACTGCAAACTACACTTTACAATAGATCCCGTGAAGCCCTTTGAGACTTCCGTTGGCACAATGAGGCATTATATCGGATGCTAGGATTATTATTGTTATTATCATCATTAACACTTGAAAAAAATGATTAGCTGAGCTTCCAGTCTCTATGGGAACCGACACCAACGACGCTTAAACCTCAGGGAAGGCGGGGGGTGGCGGGGTAAGAGTGGAAAACAGGGGAGAATTATGGTTTGCAAATAAAGGTGCTTTGCTCCTTTTTTTTAGCGAGGAGTGGAAAAAATCAAATCAACGCTCTTTTTTTACCCTGACATTTTGTCCCTGTTGATTCATGGCTGTGTTTTCACCAAGGTGACCAAGAGGAGCAAATCCAGACCGTGCTAACGTCAGACGAGGGGAAGAAATGAGATTCCCAACTTGCGTTCAAAAACCTTCCAATTATTAAAACAACTCCTCGGGCAAATGGACTCATATTCATCAAATCTTATTCTATTCATGTTGTTAGAAAGTATTTGCGAGTGCGGCACACAAATTATTATTATTTCTTTTGAAGGGAATATCACCCCTAGAAAAGCGATCTGCCAATCGATTAACAACCGGGTTCCTACTTACTGCTTGGTAAACAGAGGCGTGTGGAGTAAGGAAACTTACCTAAGGTTTCGCCCTGCCCCGGGAATCAAACCCGGGTCATCTCGCTTGTGAGGTGAGTGCTCTAACCTCTAAACTACAGCACTCCATGGATTCTAGGACTCCACACCAGGATCCTAATATTAGTAGATTTTATCTTAATTAATAATAATAATAATCCTTGCATTTGATATAGCGCTTTTTACGTCGGGAGGACGTCCCAAAGCGCTTCACAGAACACACTGTAAAGTGAATTGACTGTATATTTGTGGGCGAACGCGGCAGCCAATTGCGCACAGCAATGTCCCACAAACAGTCATAGATTGAAAATGACCAATTTATTTTTTTTTGGTTTTGGAGGGATTATTAACATCTATAACTTTTCACTGACTTACTAATATCAGTTGAATAACAGATACCTTGCACGTCTTTGTGTTTCGGTCTGTTTGTGTGTGTGTGTCTGTGTGTTTGTGTGTGTCTTGTCTGTTATGCATGTGTGTTTGTGTGTGTCTGTTTATGTCTGTTCTATATGTGTGTGTGTGTGTTTGTTTATATGTATGTGTGTCTCTGTCTGTTTGTTTGTCTCTGTGTATCATTTGTTTGTGTGCATCTGTGTGTACCTGTTTGTGTGTGTCTGTCTGTTCTGTATGTGTGGCAGTGTGTGTGTTATCTGAATGTGTATGTTTGTGTCTGTTCTGTATGTGTGTGTGTGTGTTTGAATGTGTCTGTGTCTGTCTGTGTGTGTGTTGTAAAAGCTTCTCAGGCAAAAAATGTTTTGCAAAGAAGAACACCAGCAGCTTGAATGAACACTTTATCATTACCAGCGAATGGCAATAAGGTTCCTGATAAGCTCAGGCGCTTCAGTAACAGTGCAGATCCTGAATGAAACAGTGGAGGATGGAGAGCAAAAACCTCTCTGTCTGTGTGTGAGTATATGTGAGACAGAGCTGGAAGGTAACAGACACACAAATGTGTGGCTGCGAGATACTGAGCTGGGCTGGATGATGGCTCAGTCGATAGGTTAAGCACAATTCCTTAAATTTAACCCACCTGATCCATCCTTGAGAGCAATCGGTCCAGAGGACAAGACGCTGGGCTGGAGGAGAGGTGGACCACTCTTTGTGTGTGTGTGTGTGAACATCTTAAACCTTTCTCATCTCCCACTTTCTATGCCAACTGCACAGGTTCAGTCAGGCTCGACTGGGGATAATTGTCAATTGGAAAAGATCCATAAGTAAGTAGCAATATTTTGCTAATAGCAGGAGAGAGAGAGAGAGAAAGAGAGAGTGATATTGCCTTATCCTTTCCTTTGTTTAGCTGGCTAGATGGTAAATATATATATATATATATATTTTGGAGGGGTGGGGGAGAAGAAAAAAAGTTTTCTAGTCAAAGGGTTTGTATGTTTTTTTTATATTGCAGTTTTAAAAAAATAATAAATAAAAGTTGGGAAGAATTATCTCAGAGATAGATAGACAGACAGACAGACAGACAGACAGACAGACAGATAGATAGATAGATAGATAGAAAAATATACATATATATAGACAGACAGACACACAGACAGACAGACAGACAGATAGAAAAAATATAGAAAGAGATAGACAGAGAGAGATGGGAAGAGATAGAGATAAATAGAGAGAGAGAGAGAGAGAGAAATAACTGTCGATCCATTAATTTCTCAAGGATTGCAAGTTGTAACCACTCAATCCGTATTAATACTGTACCTGTCTGGAGTCCAGACAGTGGCATTTCTAAAGCATTTCTAAAACTTGGAAAGAGAAGAAATACAGTGAGTGAGAGAGGTGGGCAATCGCTTGGTTTTTGTTCGTCTGTGGTTGTGTGTATGTTTCATTATTATTAAAGGGATATTGTTACAGCAATATAATATATGTTATATAATAAAATGCAAATACATGTTATATTATGATATAATGTTGTTATAATAATTCTTTCACAACAATATCATAATATTATCCTGTTTTCTTATAATAATTATTAGTAGTATTAGTTTAATATTACAGGGGGATTAATCGCTTTAAAAAAAAGGATTCGGTCACTCAATCCACGGCTGTTTGTGGGACGCTGCTGTGCGCAATTGGCCGTCGAGTTTCGCCCCCAAAATCTAGTCAATCGACTTTGCAGCGTATTCTGTGAAGGGCTTTAAGACGTCTCAAAGACGTGATAAGGCATTATGTCAAATGTAAGGATTATTATCATTATTATTATCATCATCAATAATATTATCGTTTGTGTATTGCGTCTGTCTGTTCTGTATCTCTGATATTGTGTCTGTGGAGTGTATGTGTGGGTGTGTAAAAGAAAAAAAACAATCGCTGGGTATTTAATGCAATGTCTTATTGTTCTAATTTCTTTCCCTTTACCTCCCTACCCCCAGCCCCAAACCACACAGCGACTCTTTGGCAAATTGGGTGTGGGTGTGGGTGGTGGGGAGCGGGTGTGCGGGAGAGAAGAGAATATTCCCAGCATGGAGTTGGGAAGCTGGGAATACACTCAGGGAAACCTGTCTTTAGCAGCCAGGGGGCTGGACGCATTGTCCAACAACATCTCATCGCAGTTCAAGGGATCGAATTGATCCAGTCCTACAAGCCCCTGATCATCCCCTGCTACGGGCTGGTGGTGTTCATCGGAATCTTCGGCAACTACCTGCTCATCTACGTCATCTGCAAGACCAAGAGGATGCACAACGTCACCAATTTCCTCCTGGGTAACCTGGCCTTCTCGGACATGCTGATGTGTGCCACGTGCGTGCCCTTCACCTTGGCGTACGTCTTCGAGCCCCGGGGTTGGGTGTACGGACGCTTCATGTGCTACTTTGTCTTCCTCATGCAGCCGCTCAGCGTCTTCGTGTCGGTCTTCACCCTGACCGTCATCGCCGTGGACCGTTACCGGGCCATGGTCCACCCGCTCCGCCGCAGGCTGACCGTGTCTGCCTGCGCCTACATCCTGTCCGCCATCTGGTTCCTGGCCGGCCTGCTCGCCGCTCCCGCCCTGGCACACACTTACTACGTGGATTTCTACCGCCGGGACCTGACCATCTGTGAAGAGTTCTGGATGGGGATGGAGAGGCCTCGGCTGGCGTACGCCTACAGCACCCTGATCGCCACCTACGTCCTGCCCCTCTCCGTCATCTCCATGTCCTACCTACGCATCTCGGTCAAGCTCAGGAACCGGGTGGTGCCGGGAAACATCACCCAGACGCAAGCCGAGTGGGACCGGGCCAGACGCAAGAAGACCTTTCGTCTCTTGGTGCTGGTGGTGGTCGTGTTCGGCCTCTGCTGGCTCCCGCTTCACCTCTTCAACGTGATCAAGGACATCGACATTGGGCTGATAGACAAGAGGTATTTCAACCTCATCCAGCTGTTCTGCCACTGGCTGGCCATGAGCTCCGCCTGTTATAATGCCTTCATCTACGCCTGGCTCCACGACAGCTTCCGAGGGGCTCTGAGGAACATGTTCATCTGGAGAAGGAGCAAGAGAGTGGCTCCCGCTGTGGCCGGTGTGATGGTCAGTGTGGTGCTTTAATCTCAAGAAACCCCTAACATCAAATGGGCTTCACGCATGCACCATTACCAACCACCCAACCCCCACTCAGCTCGGCGGGTACTGGCCTGCTCACGTCATCCCCCACCATCCGCTCATGTCCGGCCTTCAGGCTTTCTACCCCAACCCTCTGGAACTCCATCCCCCCCAGAGATCCCTCATCCTCGCCTCTCCCTCCCTCCCTCCCTCCCTCCCTTGCCTCCTTCAAGGCCCATCTCAAGACCTTCCTCTCTGACCGTGCCTTTGGTCATCCTGTCCGTGGTGTTTTCCATTCATCAGCCTCAGAAATGTCTGTCACCAACAGTATTTCCCATTGAAATTGTACATCAAGGTATTACGTGTGTTGTTCAGTGGACTATGACCTTAAAATGTACATTAAATCAGACCCGTGTGTAGTCTTTAACATTTCAGAAGCGAGCATTCACCCAGTGACTGGTGCCAAATAGCTGAGCAATCATTTGTCCGCACAGTAAGCATTGTAGATGGCAGATTTCAGGATAATATTGCTTACGATTTCTCCAGTATGTTAGTCCGCAAATAATACCCCACTCCCCCCCACCCCCAAAATCGCTGGCTGCTAAGATCTGCTGTTCCTCGTGTAGCAACTGTCCAATCTCAGCAAATCCACTTCACATTTGTTGTAGCGCTTTTCATGTTGGCAAGATGTCTCAGAACGCTTCACTGGATTTACTGTAACGTGTAGTGACTGTGACTTTCTGCAGACGGCAATGTCCGACAAACCGCCACGGATTGAACTACCAGTTTAGAGTTCTGACTTGGGGCTTGATTGAATCCATTAGCTTCAGACACAGAGTGTGAGAGTGCTACCAACAGATCTGAAATAGAATTGGGGCATCGACCACCAAATTCGTTGACAGTACAGTGAATACGCTTTTCTCGTTATTTTCTCCCCGGTTGACGTCTTGCTGTTTGACTCTTCGCAGATGAACAAGTCATCCAACACGAAGTGATTTCAGTAATTGGTGACATTTCCATTTAGTTTCCAGCGTAGCAAAAAGGCCGCCCAAGTCACTGATCAAAGGGAACGTCTTTCAGTGAAGGAGATTAAAAGGCGAATTGACAAACCGCATTGAGAAACGATGTTGTTTTTGAATGTCTGCAAGTGTGGAGTGTCGACACTGACTGGTCAATCCTTACTGGTTAGAAAGAGACACATCTAAGGACACGCTGGAAGTGCACTGAACAATTTTTCACAAGAAATGAGAGGGACTCATTGAAATGCGGCAAAGGTTTACTTTTTATGAAATTTAATAAATGGAGAAAAATGGACTGTGTGTCACTGTACTATTGCTTTTATCAGAGGACCCGGGTTTGATTCCCAGGCAGGGCAGCGCGAAATCTTGGGCAAGTTTGCTTATTCCACACGTCTTTGTTTACCGAGGAGTAAGTAGAAACCCGGTTGTTAGTCGATTGGCCGATTGCTTTCCCGGGGGTAATAATTCCCCCCACCCAAAATATAATAAGAATTTGGTCATTCACTCCATTACTGTTTGTGGGACGCTGCTGTGTGTAATCGGCTGCCGTGTTTAGCCCACAAAATTCACAGTTAATCCACTTTGCAATACATTCTGTGAAGCGCTTTGAGGTGTCTCAACAACGAGGACTAAGATTTCACCTGGTCTTAGCCGTTGTGTTAAAATGTGACATTGTGCACAAGTTTGGAAGACTCTTTAATCCAGGCGCAATCTGGAAGCCAGTTGCGAAGAAGGACAACAAGCATGTCTTGTGTTCTGGCTGTACTCGCAGATAATAGCCTTTCAACATCTACTGTCAAATAACTAGATTTTAACGAGTTCAGATATTCTGCGGCTCTGGCAGGAAGGATTCTTACATGGAGGATGTTTAGATGTCAGCACATACAGCACATAGCTAGATTCTATAAACAGCTCATCCTGAGAATGATAACAAGAATAATTATAATTCTTGCAACAGGTTTACAGGCCAAGACATTCGACTCATTTAAAATGTTCGGAAAGGATGAGATCAGGCCAAATGGCTTTCTTCACCCAAACCGTTCTTGTGAGGAGAAACTTTCTCTAACTTCCTATTTGCTCATCACTGGTTGCCAATGGCAATGATCCGTCGACCATATGAATTGAATTAATTGGTTGCGTGTTGCAGAGCATTCACAGAGATCAATACAGATTTTTTTTCCCCCTCCCCTGCTGATTTCATGACTAAGGCATGATTGCACATGCAGGGTTCCCGTTTATATTCCTCTAATATAAAGCAATCTTCAACAAAGCAGTCGCAGTTTGGAAGATATTGCAAAGTGAAAATTTTTTATAACTCCAGCCTGAATAATGATAACCCATCTCATCAGACCCAGGTTCCAGCGAGTGCTCTAAGCCTGCCAATCTTGTGGCAGTAAATACCCGAATCAAATGTCCACACATGCTGTCTTCCGCGCTCGCATTTTATTGGCAATTGATGGTGATTTGGTTCAAAGTTCTTCACAATCCTCACGCTGCAAGTAACGTTACAGCAGATGCTTTATCAGGAGCCTTTAACAACAGTCATCGCTGGCAGAGGCACATAGATTATTAGAGGATTCATGCACCGGGGAGCAAGCTGCGCTTCAAACATCTGTCACAACCAAATGTCGTCAGCAGTCATCACAAACCACTGAGAGCACTGTAGTTATCAGAAACAAGAACGTGTTTTGACCAAGACTCCTACTCATAAAAGGGAGTCCTGTAGCTCAGTGGTTAGAGCACTCGCGAGCGAGAGGACCTGGGTTTGATTCTCGGGCAGGGCGAAACCTTAGGCAAGTTTCCTTACTCCACACACCTCTGTTAACCTGGCAGCAAGTAGGAACCTGGTTGTTAGTCGATTGGCAGATCGCTTTTTCCAGGGGTAATAATCCCTTTTCTAAACAAAATGTGGTCACTCAATCCATGACTGTTTGTGAGACACTGCCTCGCGCAACTGGCTGCTGTGTTCCGCCCACAAAGCATACAGTCACTACACTCGACAGTATAATAATAATAATATATTCTGCGAAGCGCTTTGAGACGTCTCACGGACATGATCGGGCGCTATATCAAATGCAAGGCTTATTATTATAAATAGAATGAATCCAGTAAAGGGGTACATTTTTTGAATCAAACGTTACGCAAATTATAACTCTGATAATTTTATGAATCCTTCTTTGTGGCCGATACATTCTCTTGAGGACTGCAGAGAAGATTACTTACATGCTTAAGCACTCCTACGCGAAAGAAATTGCATCTTAGTAGAGGCTTATCACACTGAAATGACCTGTGGGAAACTGCAGTGGTGTTTTCAGGTAGAAAAATTAATTCAAAGAGATACGAACAAAGCCTCTTTAATATTGACTTGATTTTTAAGTCACAGGTTGTGAGAAAAATGAACTTTTCCTGTATAAACTCGTCTCGCCTACAAAACACAGTCGCTACGCTTTCCAGCCAATCGCCCACAAAATATACAGTCACTACACCTTACAGTACATTCTGTGAAGCGCTTTGAGACGGCTCCTGGAGCTGTGAAAGGAGCTGCGTCGTGTGAGGGTTACCAGTGTTATTTTCATGACAACGTCCGCCTTCACGTCTAATCAATTGTCTGTCGCGAAGCACTTCGAAATTTATCAGCTGCCCTCAAAAACCACGATTACTGTTACTATTTGGTGGGGGAAGGCACTGTAGAATTGCAAGTCACCGTCCTCATGATCGGCGCTTGGCAGGGAATTGCGTGTGGGCGCAGCGAACGTGAATCCCAAGGCGAACGGGGCAGACGGTTCTACTCACAGCCGCGGCCCACCAACAGCCACGAAGAGCCGTCAAGTAGAAGGTCTACCGTGGCGGTCCCAACTGGCGAGCAGTGAAACCACGGCATTTAAAGGTGAGAACGATTAAGTGGAGGGCATCGATCAGACTCCTTAGGCCTCCGGAAGCTAACAGGCTGAGAGTCCGATTGATGAACGAACACAGCGACGCAAAGGCAAGGAAGACGAGCTCAAAGCAGTCACGTTGCTTCCGGGCACATTAGGAAGGAATCGAACAGTGCGAGTCGATGCCATTGAGCGCCGGCTGCAGACCCCAGGAGCAGCTGCTTGCAATCGCTTGTTTTCTGCAACAAAACATTCTCCCTGCAGATCAATCACCGCCGCTGGATGCTAGTGATTTTACCTCATTTAAACGTTCATTATCTGCGGTCACTCATTTGTGCGTATCAGCGCTTGTCACACCTCCGGGGAGTTAAATGCGACAAAATTAATCCTGTGCGCAGTTAATGAGTTGATGGTGATTAGGGGAATCCAGGCATTCTTCCTGCAGCGCTGAGTGGCCAAAAAAGGCACATTGCGTTATATTCCAGACTCCCTCTGTGGTTGGATCAAGCACAAGCTGGGACACTTAGGAAAAGGTCCCGAATGAACTATATAAACGGAGCACTGGGGGTGAACATGGATGACTAGTAGTGGGAATCAGGTTCTCGCCTGCTGATCTATCCAGTATAATATCCTTACATTTGATATAGCGCCTTATGTCATCGAGATGTCTCGAAGAGCTTCACAGGAAAGCGGCTTGACTGTGTATTTTGTGGGTGAAACGCAGCAGCCAATTTCGGGCGCAACACGAACAGCCACGGAGCGACCGGCCACTTTTATTTGGGGGATTTCAGCGCCTTGGGATGTCCTCCCGACGTGAAAGGCGCTATACAAATGTAATTTGTTGTTGTTCAGGACACCAGGAGAGAGAAAAGTGCGGTGGGATCTTTAATTTCCAATTGAGCAGGCAGACTCGGTTTAACGTCTCAACAGCAACAGCAAAAAAATGACAATTGTAAAGCGCCTTTCACGTCGGGAGGATGTCCCAAGGCGCTGGGCAATCAGTGTTTGGGACCCGAGCTGGAGGTCAGGGGTTGGGGAGGTTGGAGGGCAGGGCGGGGTGGGGGGCAGGGAAGCAGGGAGATCGAAAGCACAGTCGAGGAGAAGGGTCTTG